TGAGATTCCGCTTACCCTGCATGTGTACACGGTAGTGAAAATTGTTTCTATAGTTCCTCTCAAGTACAGTTAGCAAGTGCCCTTCTGCGACACTGGTACATTGCTGTGCTTATACTGATTAAGTCGGACGTCATTCATGCGTTATTCGTTTCAAAATGATTCCGAAAGTGCCGACACAGCTCTAGCTTCCATTTGCGATAAGCAATGGACGGCGCAAATTTGATTCAACAGGAAATTGGAGCGATTTGGAGTTACTGAGAGCGTACTGCTTACGTTACTTCTTTGTATAGTTTGTGGGCAAACGTTTGAGGTGCAAAAGTATTCAGGAAGCTTGTCCTACTGGGACAAGCTATGTAGGGCACCATTTTGGACAAAGTACACGTTGTGTAGTCGTCTCGCAGAAACTCAAACTTATTGCTACCTTTGTTTGAGATAGAAACACATTATGCATCCCAATAGATATGTGTTTGTAAATAAAGAATAAACTATACGTTTCGATACAAAATGCTTACTCATTTCAACTCTTTACTGGAGTGTAGTCATATGCATCATCAGCTGAAAAAAATTTTGTGTATTTATTGGTCCGCTGCATTAAATCAGACCTGTGAGAAATTAGGGTGGCAACATTTTTTATTTGATTCATTAATGTGTAAACTATATTTTTAAAAAAATGGGTGATTCAATTTGCATCATGTTCCTGAAACAAACAGATCTAGTGTATAAGGTTGGTTCATCATCATCCTGTTTTCTTAGAAAAATAAATAAACTTCTGACCGATATTTGTTAATTTACAATATTCAGCACCGCGTCCTACAGTAAAAGTATCCTATGGCCAATTTTTACCGAGACAGCTTTGTGTCCTTTCGACACATCTAGAAGTAACAGCTAGTGGCTTCATCCCTTGTATTACATTTTCATTTTGTGAATACTGTGATACTACAGAGCAAAAGCTTAAAATTCTCTAGGCTGTTACAGTGGTTGTTGACAAATTTTCGGGATTGAATGCACATGCGTCACCCTTGCCGGTAATCATTCATCCATTTGCGGTCACGGAATACCCCGTGACTCATTTTACTTCTAATGTAAAATCATCATAAAAGCTAGGGATGAGACATTCCGAAAATCGTCAGGCTTTAATTGCAAATTAATTTCGGTTTTTTTGTCCTCATAACCGCGGCACGTTTTTGATTTTGCACAATCAAACAGCAGCAGTTTAACAAGGCTGTTCATGTTGTTTTCAAAAGTTCTGAACACGTACTCCCCTTCATAGTTAAGCTGGGGATTAAGTCCTTTGCAGAATCAGATGGCATTAAAAAAGTCTTAGCTGCTGTATTAACTCGGGTAAGTTCGTCCCTAGCAATGTAATTTTTGAAATTTTAACTCAACAGATTATTAGTATTCAGTCCCAAGAAAGAGGAGATTTTACGGGAGTGTTAAACAGCTCAGTTAATGTTACTGAACAAGAACATTTTAATGTGTCTTTGTAATGAAACCAGGCGGATACTGACTCGGATCTAAGCTGTTTATCTTGTCATTTTAATAACATGAGAAGAGCATTGATAAAAACGCAGAAAATTTGTCGAATAACAGAATATGCACATACATTTTTACCAGTTTCAGCTCAACGTACATAGCAGGGTATGGAATTGTATAGCCGGAATAGTGTACAGAATACCGAATGCATCATTTTCGACACCAGTCGGTGAGCACTCTCTGCTCTTTGTGATTTTGATTATTTTGCTCCTGGCAAGGTCCCCCCGAAACAAGAAGTCTATGTATAAGGCTGTCTTCCTTACAATAAAATAAACTAATCAAACATCATTTTAGGAATAGAATCTGAAATTGCACTCAAACATGCTGAGTAAAGCCTTCAGTTTTTTGACATGACACGTGCATCCCTCTCAAATAGCAAATGAGAATTATCCAAAGTTCACTGTTTGTCGGAGGAATTTCGCACTAAAATTTCAAAACCCCAGTCAAAAACAGATGGGATTCCAAAACACCAAAGAAGATGAGCAAAGGTGGTGAGGTGACAGGATGGTCTGCTTTGCAAAGGGAATGGTAACCTTTCGTTGGTGGTTATGAGAAACGAAGTACGTGATCATGTGTATAGGTTTCTGGAAAGGATGAAGTTGGACCATGTCTGGTTATCCGGAAACTGATCTTACCGATGTTTTTTCAGATCGCCCAACGATTGGCCAGCATCAGGGTGGCCTTTGGGATTGACCTTTCTGATGCCTAACCTCTGGCTTTTTCTGGAACCAGCCCCTTGGTTAACCGCCGTTTGACGCGTTTTTCTGATGCTGGATAATGCTTGAGTCATCACATTCTGTTTGTGATCTTTTGATCGCCAATGTGCATAGGTTGACCCCACTTCGACATATCGGCTGACTAAGAAATCTCAGGCTTTGTCTCACGTGGTCGGAACCTTCACGTGCCAGAATTTGCGCACCTTCCATACCGAAATGATGCCATTCCTGATATGTATGTATGTTGTTTGTTTGTTAAAAAAAACACAATTCACCCAAGAACTGTCATTTATGTGTAAAATATACAGCGGAGTTCACAAGATTTAAGTGGTTTCTCCGTTCTAAACGTTTAAATGACTCTGCCAAAAAATAGAACCTTTGATAAAAAAAATTCTTTCCAACATCCACGTTGTTATTGGGCGAAATTTGCAGGAGATAATGTGAGTTATCTTCTCAGAAAAGCTTCTCTATGTCTTCCCAATTCACAGTTTAGTAGTTTGCAGGCATTGTTTCATCTTCATGTATTGAAAACCATAATGAATCACACGCAATGTTGAACCAATGGTCCCCGACAAGGGAACTGGTGAATAAAGTGAGTTTGCTCAAGTACACTAAGAAACGTAGGACACACGATCTGTTCTGATTTCTAGGTATAGACTCAATTGAAATTTGATGCTAGAGGATGGCAAAAAGAAAGCTATGGCAAATGTACTGAGATCTGCTCCTTCCCCAGTCGGCTAGATCCCACGAACCTCATGTTGGACTGAACATATTAGTGATATATGTTCATGTTCACTCATCACTTTCCTTGCCAGCCACAGTGTGGTTAGCTCTTCCCTTCATGCTTGCTTGTCGTCAGACATTATTCTATGCGCAACGCACGAACGTACAAAGATTGTCAGCCATACAGTAGTTCTACCAATTAAAAGATTTTATTTGCGGACATCAGCAGCCAAACACAAAAAAAAACGGATGACTTCAACGTAGATTTATAATTTAACATGCAGTTTGATGGCAAGCTTGGGGCTTCGATACAGATGAATTGTCAGTGGTTATCTGGGTTGATACACCTAATTCATTCCAAATGCCAGTCCCGTGTAGAATACAGGACATATTCCGGAAAGTCCAATAGAGTGGTGACCGAAATCACAAGCCAAGAATTAAGAAGAATCAACAAAATACGGCACTATGCGTAAAAATGCGTATACGAAAGGAACACAAACTGCAAACCATGGGGATTTTTGTCTGTTTGTTACACAGATGGGTGCAAGTCCAAAGAAAGCCCCGCTGGCCAAAATGACTCACCGGGAGCACTAGACATAAAGAAATAACGTGCAAACTCGTTAACTGTGCTTGGTTCAATAGTATGTCGGAAATATTCGCTTGAGTATAAGGATTTTCGAAAGAACTGGCTCCATCGTTGAATGAATTGGCAGAAACGAACAACCAGTCTACGTGGATAGGCTGAGTAGCGGAGTGCAAAGAAATTGGAGAAAAATATTTCGTGAACTAGCGCGGGTGCTGGTGACTGAAGCACAAAAACGCCTATTACGGCACATTACCCATTCAGAGATGTATCCTACCCATTCATTGTAAGCTTCCGATGATGTCATCATCACAACCGCCGTCGTCATCGATGTCATCACCTTCATCCGGTGGGGTGAGAAGAATGTTGCGGATGATGCTTCACTGCCGTAAGACCACGTAGTTCATTCAATTATTTATAAGGTCTAGAACTTGAGCAGCATCAGCAACACCCAAACGCTTCGTAATTTCTTTCTCAATCCACTCTCGAATCATCGTTCTGGATCGCGCATTTTGCAAAAAGAACTTCGTCCAGGAAAACGAAGTTTCGGCATGCATAGACCATAGCTGAATCAATCAACACAGCTGATGCTGCCGGATATTTTTCGTGAGGGAATTGCCTCCTGCTGAAATAGATACCCGTCTCCCAGTCGCTNTGCTGGCTGAAATAGATACCCGTCTCCCAGTCGCTTCGCTAGGAATCTGTAAGGGCCATTCGACACCTGCAAAGCCTCTGAGCCATTGGTCTTCCAAACCCGGAGACTCCTGATACCATCTTTCTGCTGAAGTGGTACCTCGCAACCATACGACAATACAGATTTCACTGCAGCCTGGTAGACGTGACCAACAAGACCCAGTGTCATTCTCTTTTGACGCCACAAATAGCGTCAATTAGCAAAAGTAACGCTTGTTATTCGCACGATAGAATTGAATTTTCGAAAGCCATAAGGTGTTTCAGATGGACTAAAGCAATCGGACAATTGAGTTCAAAGTACCAGCCTAAACTTTTGAGCCTCATTTAGACATTCCGGGTTCTCAGCGTTGCTGAGGATTTGTTCCACCAGACTTTTCCGCCAGAGGTATGATTGCTTTAGTGGACAATGAAATTTGGTGAGCTGCAAAAATATAAACGTAGATTAGGATGGTTTTTGGTGTGAGCGCATGCGCAACAAAGTGCAACATTTTGGCGCGAAAATTTTACTCTACTCAAAAAGGCTTTGCAGCTGAGAGCATTGTGCGGCTAATGGGCCCCAGCGAAAGCCATTCGTGCATTTGAGAATCATACACAAACTTGATTAGACACACTTTCGTCAAAGCTCCTTGGGTCCTATTTCGATTGTAGTGGCCTCAGAACCTTCAATTCCTGAAGCGTAGCGTTGACTTTTGAAGGTGTATTGTCAGATGCGTGGCAAACGGTGGTATAATAGTGTTCAGTTTATTTACCAGGGTTATTTCTCTGATGTTGTCCCCGAAGATGAGGGAGATGCTGTCTGTCTACTCCTTATCGACAAGGTTTCTACCAGCAATAATTTAAACACCGGGGAGTTGCAGATTTCCAGCCTCTATGATGTTTTCAAAGGGTGGTTTCTAGAGAGCTCACCGCACATTCTCACAGTCCCAGAGGTATATGAATATGGGGACCGAATTAGATTTACAGATGTCTGGGACATACTCAGTTGAGCTAGTGTGATTAACGTCGCCGAATTGATGGCACCCTTTATTACATGAAGCAGCAGGGTTGTGGATGCCATTGCATCCTATGCCTTAGTCAGTTATTCGCCGTTTAGTTGATTGTACTAGCTAGTTTGAGCGACAATCTCAGACTTAATTAAACTAGCAATGTGGGCGAAACTACCAATACACCGTCCACAGTTCGCCCATCAACATGGAAAAATCAGTAGTTAAGCTAACGTTTGCACACGTGACGCTATGGTGAACTGCAGTGCGACACATCTAGCGTAAGCTGCAGAATTAACCATAACAACCTCACCAAATAGTTCATGATGAAAACGCCAAAAATCCAGTTTGTATGCAATCTAAACGAAGAGCGGCTGGCACATAAGCTCTTTATAAATTCTACGATACAGTGAGTGGTCCTCCATTTTTCGGCCCATTTTACTGTAAAAGGTTACGTTTTCATGACGAGTGATTGAAATAGAAGAGCAAACTAAAGTTTGTTAAATTTTGAGGTAGATTTTTAAATAAAAAGTAATATATACTTAGTTCAACTAGGGCCAGAGAATTCCAAATATTCGGAACTGCTGAGTTCACACCAAACAGTAATACTAAATAGGCGCTAGTAGATGGTTCTACAAAGAAATACGCTAGAAAACAACCCTGTGATGATAACCAAGTGTTTTGGTTGTATACCAGATTATCACATGATAGTTTGTGTGCGTGAAAAGTGCTCGGAAGGGAGAGGAGTAACCAACAGAGGATAATATATTTTGGATAAAAGTTATTTCCTGCTGAAATAGATACCCGTCTCCCAGTCGCTTCGCTAGGAATCTGTAAGGGCCATTCGACACCTGCAAAGCCTCTGAGCCATTGGTCTTCCAAACCCGGAGACTCCTGATACCATCTTTCTGCTGAAGTGGTACCTCGCAACCATACGACAATACAGATTTCACTGCAGCCTGGTAGACGTGACCAACAAGACCCAGTGTCATTCTCTTTTGACGCCACAAATAGCGTCAATTAGCAAAAGTAACGCTTGTTATTCGCACGATAGAATTGAATTTTCGAAAGCCATAAGGTGTTTCAGATGGACTAAAGCAATAATTGAGTTGAGTTCAAAGTACCAGCCTAAACTTTTGAGCCTCATTTAGACATTCCGGGTTCTCAGCGTTGCTGAGGATTTGTTCCACTTTTCCGCCCTGGACTAAAGCAATCGGACAATTGAGTTCAAAGTACCAGCCTAAACTTTTGAGCCTCATTTAGACATTCCGGGTTCTCAGCGTTGCTGAGGATTTGTTCCACCAGACTTTTCCGCCAGAGGTATGATTGCTTTAGTGGACAATGAAATTTGGTGAGCTGCAAAAATATAAACGTAGATTAGGATGGTTTTTGGTGTGAGCGCATGCGCAACAAAGTGCAACATTTTGGCGCGAAAGTTTTACTCTACTCAAAAAGGCTTTGCAGCTGAGAGCATTGTGCGGCTAATGGGCCCCAGCGAACGCCATTCGTGCATTTGAGATTCATACACAAACTTGATTAGACACACTTTCGTCAAAGCTCCTTGGGTCCTATTTCGATTGTAGTGGCCTCAGAACCTTCAATTCCTGAAGCGTAGCGTTGACTTTTGAAGGTGTATTGTCAGATGCGTGGCAAACGGTGGTATAATAGTGTTCAGTTTATTTACCAGGGTTATTTCTCTGATGTTGTCCCCGAAGATGAGGGAGATGCTGTCTGTCTACTCCTTATCGACAAGGTTTCTACCAGCAATAATTTAAACACCGGGGAGTTGCAGATTTCCAGCCTCTATGATGTTTTCAAAGGGTGGTTTCTAGAGAGCTCACCGCACATTCTCACAGTCCCAGAGGTATATGAATATGGGGACCGAATTAGATTTACAGATGTCTGGGACATACTCAGTTGAGCTAGTGTGATTAACGTCGCCGAATTGATGGCACCCTTTATTACATGAAGCAGCAGGGTTGTGGATGCCATTGCATCCTATGCCTTAGTCAGTTATTCGCCGTTTAGTTGATTGTACTAGCTAGTTTGAGCGACAATCTCAGACTTAATTAAACTAGCAATGTGGGCGAAACTACCAATACACCGTCCACAGTTCGCCCATCAACATGGAAAAATCAGTAGTTAAGCTAACGTTTGCACACGTGACGCTATGGTGAACTGCAGTGCGACACATCTAGCGTAAGCTGCAGAATTAACCATAACAACCTCACCAAATAGTTCATGATGAAAACGCCAAAAATCCAGTTTGTATGCAATCTAAACGAAGAGCGGCTGGCACATAAGCTCTTTATAAATTCTACGATACAGTGAGTGGTCCTCCATTTTTCGGCCCATTTTACTGTAAAAGGTTACGTTTTCATGACGAGTGATTGAAATAGAAGAGCAAACTAAAGTTTGTTAAATTTTGAGGTAGATTTTTAAATAAAAAGTAATATATACTTAGTTCAACTAGGGCCAGAGAATTCCAAATATTCGGAACTGCTGAGTTCACACCAAACAGTAATACTAAATAGGCGCTAGTAGATGGTTCTACAAAGAAATACGCTAGAAAACAACCCTGTGATGATAACCAAGTGTTTTGGTTGTATACCAGATTATCACATGATAGTTTGTGTGCGTGAAAAGTGCTCGGAAGGGAGAGGAGTAACCAACAGAGGATAATATATTTTGGATAAAAGTTATTTATGGCTTGAAATATGGAACTTCGGCTAATAATTTTGCTCTGTTTATGACTGAGATCTTTTGGGTGGGCTCATTTGTGTTGATAATAGTTGACATTTTGAATAATCTTACCTGTTCTGGGCTTCCGCTTGGGCAGCTTCCCTCAACGGTTCACCTATAAGACCGATATATTTCTTTTGAACTGAACATAAATCATAATTGGATCATGGATAAACGTAAACAATTTCCTCAACGCTTATGCCACTGTTCTCGGACGGAGGATGCATGTCCAGGCCGGTTTTATTTGGTTTTATTTAGTCCCTTTAGCTACAGGATTTTTCATAAATGATTCACTCCTGCTGCCCATTTTAACACACCATTCCAACAAACCCCAAGCCAATCTAAAGGGGATGATCGTTACTATGATATTTAGTGAAATACCATACTTGCACCAAAGTAGTGATACAAGCGGTTTTGTTGGGACTCTACTTAGCACGACGATCTCTAGTCATTTACATGTATGTCGCTTAAATTATTGCTACAAAAGGCGATGCGTACATACAAGTGCGAATGTCTAGATGATTTGCAATGAATGGGTCTGCACAGATTGCGAGGAATTTGCAATTACGTATGCAGGCAGTATCAATCGAGGAACCCGTAAACACTGATGCAACTATGATAGCCAACAAGAGGCTATTTGTATGACGACATTGATCTACACATTTGTTTTCCCAGTACCATAATCAGCGCTGAAATATAAGGGTTTGTGCTAACACATGACAAATGGAGAGTTACGTCTTGTCACTGGAGATTTATTCACCAATGATGATTTATAAAACTTCTGTAGATTAACAAAAATTGCTCTGATATGGAGTGCGGACTGATTTAGCATTTTCTGTCCCTGGCAGTCTGTTTACTTGACGAATAATATGGCTCAAATTATCATATATTTAAGACAACATTATGCATAGCAGCTTGCCTTAATTTAACATAGGAACTAGGTGATGGACTCATGAAAGTTGAAAGTTCAAAATAGCTCGGCGTTTTCTGCGGCAAATATCGCTTATTACAGGGCGCTTAAGAGTTTAAAATGCTTGTTAAACCGTACCTGTTTTTACCAACAACTAAATGCTATTTATCAGCGAAAATGTCCAAAGTGTATTCAAGCGCATCGCGTTCTCATCAAAGCATTGTCAGAAGAATATCAATTCGCCATGCACCACACAAAATCTCGGAGGGTATATTTTTGTTGCTTGCAGAAATGAGTATAACTAAAGCGATTCTGCAACGGATTGAAGATAAGAACATCTAGTCTAAGAATGCAGATTGTGGGGTTTACGTTTGCACCCGCAATTTCAGTGGAAAATCCAACCGAAATTTAGCTTGGAAAATTATATATAGCTTACGTGGTTCTCTGCAGCAGAATCAGAGAGATGCGAGTCAATTGGGTTAAAAGTGGATCATTTTAAGTTTGCAAGTTAAATATTTTCAGTAAATCAAACAATTTGTAGACTCTTATTGGACGCGGAGTAGGATGAGGATGAGATGTAAAGGAATTGTACAAGGAAACTCCCTCCAGTAGACTTGAGAGAACAGAAAGGCACCAAACAGAGAGTGGCACTCAGTTGATGAGGCTCGCAGGTAATCTATGTAAATCAGATGCCAGATTATCCAGTTCCACTACTGGATTTCACACTCTGTTAGCTCAATTACAACCCCACTCTCAGTTGTTTGGGTGGTCATAGTATATTATTTACTCCTTTGTGATGAAATCTTGTCCTATGGCCTTCGCCATTGTGGGTTAATTTTGAAACTAACGTCCGTTAATCATGTCACCCTGATTTACCATAAAGACGAACCATCGCCATTGGTCTAGCATAGAAACCAATAATCAGAGCGCAAAAATCAGAACTCATTGGATTCGAAAAGTAGTATGGTGTTTGGAATGAAAGTAGGACGTGAATTGTCGAGGTTGTCTCTGAGTTTTCTGACAAGAACTAAAACTTTGCGACCTTCCAGAAATATGTGGCAACACGGAATGCGTGTTCTGTTCCTCAAAAATTCTTCGTTAGGGGATGATTGACTTCGTACCCCAAGACGATATGGTCTCTAAATGAATACTCTTACCCACCCTATACGATATCGTCGCTTTTTCGAAACAAAAATAATGTTTTTATAAAGGTAGACCGTGGTACCAACAAACTGCTAGCGTGAGCATGGAAAGCCGGCAGTGATCTGTCAAGACCAATATGAGAATAGACACGGGGAAAAACCATTTGCCACAGTCTCTTCAAAACGTAGATGGTATGATAAGACTTTTACGGAGCAGACGAAGTTCGGATGTACCGCGAATGCTGAACCCAACAAATGCAATTCGAACATAGATTTTAGAGATGGGTGTGGAAAATATGGTTCTCTCAATTGCCTTTGTGCCTAGAGTGTAATGAACAGGGGTTGTTCAGTCGATGGAAAATTCATTTGCCGACTCAAGATAGAAGGAATTCAGGGTTGAAGTACTCTGTCCCTTAGGTAGTTAAGGTAATCAGGATTGACTCGGAAAGCTTTGTTGAGCTTGACAACATCCACTGAAAGGCGCCGAACATATAAAGTGAAGTATACTAATTTGGATATTTGGAACATTTACGGGAGATTCTCTGCGCCTGAGAGCGATCCGAATATACAGACGGGACAAATTGCTTCGAAACAACTGTGTACAAAGAGTAGAAACCGCACAAATAGAAAACAGTTTTCGCATAAAGAAAATACTAAAACATAGGACAACAATGACACACAGTGGTTCACGATGAAAGAGTGATTTGGAATTGTTGATACGTTGGCCGGTTGTCGGAGCGTAAGTATCTGCCTGCTCCAGTTCTATGTCCGTCCTCGGAGACATCATCAGTTTGCAACTGCATGGGTGGCTTCATTAGTTCACTGTGTGGGCGGCCATATATTTCCCCCTGAATGCTTTTCTAAAAATGCATTCCCAGCGTGACATACCGTATTTATTGCGCCGCGTTTACCGTTGTGATAAATTTTATCTTGGAGCATCGTACACACTACGGATACGTTTGTGACAAGAGCCAGATAAAACAATACGAATTTAATCTGGCTCTTGAATAATGGAAGTAAATTTGAATGTTCGAGTTCAGTAGTCAATTAACGCTGTGAGAAGACAGATTATGGTGAAAGCATAATGATAACTTACGGTTGGAATTGACGACTTTCGGCGGCTGCAGTGTAAAAAGAATAATTTGATAAATTAGGTGGAAAATCGGATATGCGTCTCATGCTCAGTTGCTAGTGATTAGGGGGTTATGTCAATGTTCAAATACAGTATTCGAATGATCGTGAAGACGAACGGAAATCTATGCAATACCATTAACTTAGCTTACGTTGCGCTCTGTGAAAGAACCAGAGGAATACAGGTTAGTTGGGTTAAGAACGGGGTGTATCGTTCGATCATTCATGAATCTACGATTGCAAAGTAAACACTTTGAATAAAAGGAAATGTTTGGTTTAATTCTACTGAATTCAATTCAATTACTTCAACTAAATTATTCACTTTTGCATATGTTCTATAGACCTTATTCGTAAAATTGCAGGTGAGTTGTTCGTTCCTAATCATTTTTGGTTTTGACGTTCTAGGTGGTACGAATCTATACCTTCAGATTATCAGATGCGTAACTTTGGTGGATACGATTAGATACCAAACTTTACAAGAATAGAGGATGTTTCTGGAACATTTCTGGAAACATACGCTGAATTGTGCTCCACGCCTTGCACAAGAATGTCTGCACTAAGGTTAATTAGAATCTCTTTCATATGCACATATATAGGTGCGTGTATGTGTGTATGTATATTTTGCGTACGCCTGTTTCTGTAGAGTTGTATTGTTGACCTCTTCATGATGCCTGTTTGGAAGCGTCACGCAGTTTGTGTGATTCTGACTTAGTGCACAGTAGGACCTTCCTCCTACATTACATTTTCCTTTCACCCACGTGGAGGCTTTTGTGGGAATTAACAATCGCGGAGTGATGCGGGTTATAGCCGAGGGAACGTTTTGTGGAGTTGGCTTTTGTCGCAAGCATTTAGTGAACGTGGTAGGAACAGAAATTGAAGAGGGAATCAAATGGTGGTAAGCTCATTTTTGCCTCAACCAGAAGTGGTGTTGCGCAACTGTGCCTTGGGGAGTGGATTTTGTTTTGTGTCTGAAATTTGATCCAATCAGGACTGGTGTGCCTGTGAGATGCACTGAATAGCAAGCATTCTGGATGACGATGGATGCCTGCTGANCTGTGAGATGCACTGAATAGCAAGCATTCTGGATGACGATGGATTGCCTGCTGAACAATGTTTTATCGCGTACATCAATTCGCATTTCGTTGGGACACGGTACGTGAAAGTCTGATGGGGATTTTTCACTTTTTGAAGAGTGAGATGCTGTTGGAATGCGGTGTGAATGGGCTATAATTCCGATTTGTTTATTTCTTTGAAGCTTCTGAGTTAGCTTGACACATATTATTGGGTGTTATACATTGATTAGTGTAGTTCCTTGGTCAAACAATCCTTGTCTTTGTGTCATTGCGTATATATTACCGTAACAGCAGGCGACCGGGTGAACGCAGTTACTGGTCGATGCAACTGACGCTGGCCTATGAATCTGCATAGCTTTTGTATACGTCTTGATATTCAGTTGTATTGTCAGATGTGTTCGGTTCAGGGGTATGTTGAGATTTTGTTTATTTGAGTAGGACGGAAGACCAGTTCAGGTTTTTGGTACTGTGATCTGTTCCGCCACGTTCTTGCTTGCTCTGAAATGGTGTTTTTCAGTGAAACGGAAAGGCTAATAGATCGGCTGCATCCCACTTGTGAAGTGTTCAGTCCGTTTAGACAGTCTCTGTAGGGAGCTAACCAATCCCGCGGTACGAATGAAAATCCAGATTGGACGAAGTTTGTGCTGCAGACGAGGGGAGCATGTAGCTCCAGGTCAGCCGGGAGTTTTCAAAGAGGGACAAGAGGAAGATTTTCTGGCATCTCAGCCTGCGAGGTGAGGTTCATATTTCGCTATATTCTGCCGGGTACAGCAAGGTTTATATATTCCGGCCATTTTGTAAATTGCTTGATCCACCAATACTTGTAGTATCTCGTGAAGATTCAAATAGACTCCGTTATCGGCGGCAACACTTGTTTGGAAGTATTCGCAAGCAGCCAGTTGAACAGGCCTCTACCATTAACTATTATGAAAAGACCTTGATAATTTTATTAAAACATATACAGAACAATTCCACCTAAAGTCCTGTCCCCGTGTGTTTCGTCGGTCTGGACTTCTCACCCAAAATTTCTCACTCCATGATTGCTGCTATCACTGTGATAGATCATTGTTTCACGCAGCTGTGCTCAAGCAAAAACGAAAATGACGAAAATAATAAATCCCTCAGGTTTTTGGTACTGTGATCTGTTCCGCCACGTTCTTGCTTGCTCTGAAATGGTGTTTTTCAGTGAAACGGAAAGGCTAATAGATCGGCTGCATCCCACTTGTGAAGTGTTCAGTCCGTTTAGACAGTCTCTGTAGGGAGCTAACCAATCCCGCGGTACGAATGAAAATCCAGATTGGACGAAGTTTGTGCTGCAGACGAGGGGAGCATGTAGCTCCAGGTCAGCCGGGAGTTTTCAAAGAGGGACAAGAGGAAGATTTTCTGGCATCTCAGCCTGCGAGGTGAGGTTCATATTTCGCTATATTCTGCCGGGTACAGCAAGGTTTATATATTCCGGCCATTTTGTAAATTGCTTGATCCACCAATACTTGTAGTATCTCGTGAAGATTCAAATAGACTCCGTTATCGGCGGCAACACTTGTTTGGAAGTATTCGCAAGCAGCCAGTTGAACAGGCCTCTACCATTAACTATTATGAAAAGACCTTGATAATTTTATTAAAACATATACAGAACAATTCCACCTAAAGTCCTGTCCCCGTGTGTTTCGTCGGTCTGGACTTCTCACCCAAAATTTCTCACTCCATGATTGCTGCTATCACTGTGATAGATCATTGTTTCACGCAGCTGTGCTCAAGCAAAAACGAAAATGACGAAAATCCTTAATAAATCCCTTGCATGTTACGAAATTTTCTTCGAGATTTGGCTTTTATCTTACGTCAGAAATCTGTTGACACTGCATTGACGCACATTACTTCACGACAACTATTTTGATGGACCAATCCCGCGGTACGAATGAAAATCCAGATTGGACGAAGTTTGTGCTGCAGACGAGGGGAGCATGTAGCTCCAGGTCAGCCGGGAGTTTTCAAAGAGGGACAAGAGGAAGATTTTCTGGCATCTCAGCCTGCGAGGTGAGGTTCATATTTCGCTATATTCTGCCGGGTACAGCAAGGTTTATATATTCCGGCCATTTTGTAAATTGCTTGATCCACCAATACTTGTAGTATCTCGTGAAGATTCAAATAGACTCCGTTATCGGCGGCAACACTTGTTTGGAAGTATTCGCAAGCAGCCAGTTGAACAGGCCTCTACCATTAACTATTATGAAAAGACCTTGATAATTTTATTAAAACATATACAGAACAATTCCACCTAAAGTCCTGTCCCCGTGTGTTTCGTCGGTCTGGACTTCTCACCCAAAATTTCTCACTCCATGATTGCTGCTATCACTGTGATAGATCATTGTTTCACGCAGCTGTGCTCAAGCAAAAACGAAAATGACGAAAATCCTTAATAAATCCCTTGCATGTTACGAAATTTTCTTCGAGATTTGGCTTTTATCTTACGTCAGAAATCTGTTGACACTGCATTGACGCACATTACTTCACGACAACTATTTTGATGGAAGAGTGATTTGGAATTGTTGATACGTTGGCCGGTTGTCGGAGCGTAAGTATCTGCCTGCTCCAGTTCTATGTCCGTCCTCGGAGACATCATCAGTTTGCAACTGCATGGGTGGCTTCATTAGTTCACTGTGTGGGCGGCCATATATTTCCCCCTGAATGCTTTTCTAAAAATGCATTCCCAGCGTGACATACCGTATTTATTGCGCCGCGTTTACCGTTGTGATAAATTTTATCTTGGAGCATCGTACACACTACGGATACGTTTGTGACAAGAGCCAGATAAAACAATACGAATTTAATCTGGCTCTTGAATAATGGAAGTAAATTTGAATGTTCGAGTTCAGTAGTCAATTAACGCTGTGAGAAGACAGATTATGGTGAAAGCATAATGATAACTTACGGTTGGAATTGACGACTTTCGGCGGCTGCAGTGTAAAAAGAATAATTTGATAAATTAGGTGGAAAATCGGATATGCGTCTCATGCTCAGTTGCTAGTGATTAGGGGGTTATGTCAATGTTCAAATACAGTATTCGAATGATCGTGAAGACGAACGGAAATCTATGCAATACCATTAACTTAGCTTACGTTGCGCTCTGTGAAAGAACCAGAGGAATACAGGTTAGTTGGGTTATGAACGAGGTGTGTCATTTAATCTTAAATCTCTGATTTCATTTTGAATGAGATGAAATATTTTGTTTAATGCTTTGTTTTTCTTCTTGAATTGTTTTTTTCTCTGGTTATTTTCTTCGAATCTCTTATTCCTAGTGACTTTGGACAATATATATATTTATATTTGTTCATTTATATATATTCAGCTCTCTCTACGTTTATAAATTATTGTTGGTTATTAGATTTCGGTAGTCTTTTGCTTTTCATCAGATTTTGTAATTGATTTTTCCGGAATTTTTTAACGCTCCTGGAAAACGTATTTTAGTAAAAGCCTATTGTTTACTTACACTTGGACTGGAGGACTTGGGGTGGCTGCACATTTAGAAGGATTAATGTGGTAAATTACGTGGATGTTTGGTCTATTATCAATGAATTTTTACATGGCATTCATGCTTAATTTATAATTGGATGAAACCTTTTCATTTTTATCACTTTGTATTTATACATCGTTGCAATTCGTTTATTTTCTTGATCGTTGTTTGACGTTAGTAGTGTGTTGGTTTTCCTTTCATGCGGCTGGTGCGTTTTTCTGCATGTGTTTCTCGTTTCTTTTATTGTTTCCCCAGATTTTGTCTTAAATGTGGATGTATTTTTTGTAAATTTTCTATCTGTTTAATTTTGATACCTGTTATTATGTGACGTTTTTTAGACCCTCTCCGTGGGCTTCTGCCTAATGGGGTTCTACGTCTATGGTATTTTCTTATATCCCCTGCGAACAATGTAGATGTTCCTTCGTAAATTCTGAATCCATCTGCTTCAGTTTAATCGGGGTTTTAAACTTTTTCTGCAGGTATGTTTATTATATTTAAGTATATATGGATTCTCGTTGTTGCCCGATTGTTTTGACATTTGAATTTTTAATTTATCACGCGTTTCTTACCCCTACCTTTTGAACATCCATGGGGCACTGTGACTTTTTGTGGGCTTTCACTTTGTTTGTAAGGTACATAGAATGTCCGAAAATTTTTGGCAGTCCGCAAGACGTCTATGCGTACAAAATGTGCTTGAATACTATGTTTTAGAATAAAGATTTCCCATGATTCGTCATACGGTTACAAATCGGATCAAATTTCTGTTGTTCCAACTACT